CTTAAAATTTGGACTACTACAGTAACTGCAGTCATGATCGGTGGCTCTGAAAAGCGAAGGGAACAAAATTTAAAGTTTAATTTTAAAGACCTGAGAACATCAAGAATGCGAAAAACGCTGAAACTAAGAGAGCTAGTTCAGAAAACGTGCCAGACTCACCTCTCATCACCTTCACCGAATCCTTCACCCTCTTCATCGTATTCTTCTTCACCATCCAGTTCTATAAAGAAGAACCATAAGAAATTTGTTCCATTACATTTGGATCTGTCTTGTTTCTCAATTATGTAACATGAAGGATAAAGGATAAAGTCTTCGCCGTTGATCAATCCCTTTGTGGGATGCGGCACGCATTCTACTTCCATTCAGAATCGTAGTGGCTTATTGAATGCGATGTGGCCTATACAATGACTTGCGGTGGCCAGCCGATGTACAAGTCAGTGTTTTATCCTCCCAGACGAATCTGGTACCAATTTACCGTCCCCGGAATAGAAGGCTTGGTTGGCCTGGGCGGGAGTCGACCCGGGATTCGAACCCGGGACCGCGCGAGTGGTAAGCGCGCCACTTGTCACTACACCACCTCCGCTTCAGTCATGTAACATGGTACTAATTATCCCTTACTGTCCCACTTTCCAAATTTCTGGACGGACTTTTGAAATTTTCGCTTTTGGTAAGTTCCTAGTCACCGGGGTAGCCCAGCCTCGCGAACACGAGTATCACACTCGCTTGGCGTGAAAATTCCTAGCGCAACGGAGCTTCAGCCTAAATACCTCGATCACCGAACTTTCTTGAGAGTTGCCCTCAAGTGGCTCAACGCTATGAACACTCTGGATACGAGTACCACCTTCACTCACCATCAGAGCGAGAGCGCCTGGTACAAGCGAACGAACACGGCGCCAAACAGGATCTCTTGCGCTGAGGCCCATGAGGTGGGCGGCAGACGTTTTTGCGCTGCTCGGGACGTGATATCCAAGTTCATATTCAGGTTCAGGTGGAGGGGGTCCAACTGTTCTAAGGATAGATGTTTCGCCATATCTTTTCCCCCTCCTCCTACCGGAGAAAATCATAATTAATGTCTAATCTGCAGTTTGAACAGAGGGCAGCGAACGATCAGTAGTGCCGTCCAACGTTTTTTGTCAAGGAAAAAGAAACTCTTACCTTGTTGCTCTTCTTCTTTTTCAGCGTTCGTTAAACTGTCCGCATCAGCCAGATTATCGACGGCGATAGCCAAGAAGACATTTAGGAGGATATAGTTACCTTAAACACCGAAAAATATCGATTCCCCTTTGCTGACAGTTCAATAAAAATCGATCGATAACTTACCGCAAATAAACAACACGATGTAATATATTGAAACAATGACTCCTAAGGTGCCTACTCCACCGAACGATTCGATACCATTGTACATTACCGTATTCCAGTCCTCACCGGTAAGGATCTTAACGGTTGCATGATGAGTATGAACTCACAATTTCGTTGAAATTTGTGGCAAAAAATTGTGTTGTTAGATGTTACCTTGGAAATGATACTGTAAGTAGAGCCTGAATGAATGTGTCGAAATTGGCTCGAGGCTTTGGCTGTTGTGGATTGAAGTTGAACTTTCCACCGAATACCTTCAATGGATGAAAGGGTGAGGGACGTATAGAAACTTAAAGCTTCTGAAACTGATATTTCCTAACGAAGTGGCCAAAGCTTTCAGACCTCACTCGTCTTGAGACGCGAGGCAAGAGTTCACTTCTGCATATGAACACCCGGGCACCCCACTGAAAATTAGTGACATTTTTGTACAAAATTTGGTCCGTACAAGAACTGGAGATATGCTTGAAAACAAGCCAGTGCTTTCATCCAAAGCAGATGAGTGGTGCCAACTAAGCGACTCCGACGGGACCGGCGTGGGTGATTCTGGTTGTGCGTACAATCAAAGTGGCGACTTGCCAACGCAGTTATTTCTGCTGTCATTGAAGATCGGACGTTCCTCACAAACAGACCATGTCTTGGCGTTGGGAAGAACTATGTCCGATACAATCCTGCCCCCCGCCCTCCCTCATATCTTATTCAGCACGACCCCTTTCACAGCAGACTGATTACCTTACTGAACTTTCCGAAAAATCTGCCGTCGAGTTCTAGGAAGGGTTATCAGTTACCTCTGATCAATAATAGGTACATAATACTGTTCTTGCGGCTTCGCCAACAGAAGGAACGGCAGGAGGGGGTGGAGGGGGGGGGAAGTATAGGCGCCGAGGAACGGAGAAATCGACAAATCAAAAACATTAGCACGCCATATTATAACTCCGTTGGGGTTCCCCACCGAAGGCGTGCCCTGCTCCTGAACCTTCCCACCGAAGGCCCTGTTGATCGTGAGGAAACCGACTCAACAAAACCTCCACTGGGAATTCCTCTTTTTTCCAGGGCACTCAAACTTTGTGGGAAAAGGCAGTACCATAAAATAGCCCCTCGGTGGCAGTCACATTCCACATACCCATCTTTGTGTTTGTAGCGGCTCATCCAGGGGTATCTAAAAATCGTCGTATTTTTCAGTCCTTGATCGTAACACACCCCCCCCACCCCCCCCCATCGATATAATACTAAGGTGAATGCTAGGAACATTCTGAACCGGAATTCTTTGAAATATCATGTTTTAGGAGCAATCCGAAACTTCTGTTATGGCTGACGTTCGCCTTTGAAAGTTGTGCCATTCACGGCAAAGGATGCCCCCAAAAGGGCTTTCTCTTGAGCCAGGAATACAAATCGCCCAGTGCTGTTCTATAATCCTCCGTATTAAAAATTCAGCCTGCAGAGGACATACCGCTTAGAAATTCCCGCGCTGCATCGAAACTTTTACCGCAGCACAAACTGCGTTTCTCCAGAAAACATGGCCCGGCAGGAATGCGTGTAACGCAGGTGATGAGCTCTATCAATACAGTACTACATCAGTGAACATAGAAAACAGAGTTCGCTCATCTAAGAGGTCTGTGGTAAGACGTACAAGGGGCGCAGTCCAGCGAGGGGAGGGGCATTTTGGCAGCTTCGAGTCATCTAGAGAGCCTTTCCATGAGCAAGACAAGACTGACCACGTTACAATGGTACAACAATGATACATACTCATACAGTCAGACAAGTCCTTTTATAAGCCCATAATTCCTGAAATTCAACACTGAAATTCTGTCGTCTGGTGACAGCCATAGTTTTAGAAACAAACTGATAAAGATCGATCTATTACAGCTTCTCCAGTTGGATGACTCATTTTAGTCTCAAACATCTGCCTTTTCTCAGTACATTTGAAGATTTTCTCCTACTGGAAATGAATATTTACCACAAAAGAAGATCTAATTCACCAATTTTAAGCAGCGGATATGAACATTTTATTACATTGAAGTTCTTGCTGTGTGTAATCATTGATATTCGTGCGTTTCCACCATATATGTTAAGAAGGAGGCACACTGGCTATCTAAACTGAATCCTGAGTGTTTTTTCTTGAATTGATTACATTGATCACTTGTTCCACTGTAGTCTGATGATCCTCAAATGTGTCTAAAGTAATTGTTACCCTCAAAGTAATACTCAAAGATTTCTAGAGCAGATGAAACCACTGCTTGATGGTCCCTCGTTCGCCTGGGGTCCTGAACGGATGCGTTCGTTCGGGTTAAACCGTCAGCGGGCCCCAGTATTACGACAATCTTGCGTTCTGAAGGTCGATCTTGCAGCTGGCATCATCAACTATCAAGGGGAGGACTACATTACAAGTTTTCAATTAAAATCCTCACATAAACCTTTTCTCTTCTCAGGAAGTAGTATGAATAGCGTGTGATCCTTCTCTCTGTCAGTGTTTAGTTGAAATATTAAGTTTCAGCGAGTTATCCTATTGTAGCAATTTGTGGCACACCTTATGGTGTAAATAAATAAATAAATAAATAAACACCCAACTTACTAGGGCTACCAAGGAAGTCCCAATGCGAGATCCCCTCCCTCTACTACGAGCCTAGTAGACAAAATTGCAACACAGAAAGGCACGGTCTCAATGGAGTTTCCCTAGAGAACTGACCTGCATCCCAAGAAGAGCAAAGATGACGATGAACAAGAAGAGCAGCAACAACAACGACATAATGGAGCGCAACGAGTTTAACAACGATGAGACGAGGTTTCGCAATGAAGTCCAGTACCTTCAATTCGAAATGGAATTCAGTAGGTCCAAAATTGATATTCTAATCAAACGAAATCAAGAGACTCACTTTGTGACTTTGAAAATTCTCAGAAGCCTAGCCGAACGGAGCACAGACACTCCGAGCGGTTTCATCAGTCGTAAGTACAGCAACACGAATTCGATGATGGAACTGAATTTATCTATTATTACGTACTAGTTAATTCAAAGCATGATTGTTTATTCTAAACTATTTTCATATTACAGGGGTGTCGACTTGTGGAAGCAATAGTTCCCCAGTTTAATCCACAACTATGCTGTGAATTTTTGGGGCTAACTTATCAGCCCCAAAAATTCACAGCATAGTTGTCTCGTCCTGCCACCCCCCCCCCAATAATGTTCCCATCTTGCCCACTATCTTGCTTCTTGGAACCAACGTCCTAGCGTCGCTGTGAAGCATGTTATCAGGTTGGTGACCCTTCCTTCTGCAGGCCCATTAATAGTTATCTTATCAGCGTATTATATTCCTGCCAGCTCATCGAATATTTTCCCATTCTGTCCACTATCTTACTTCTTGAAACCAACGTCCCGTCGTCGCCGTGGCCGGCGCTATGACTTTGGTGACTCTCCCCTTGTAAGGCTCCTCATGGTATCTTATCAGCCGTTATCACTTCCTGCCACCCACCAATGATGTTCCCATCTTGCCCATAATCCTACTTCTTGGAACCAAAGTCCTAGCGTCGCTGTGACGCGCGTTATGGAGATGGTGATCCTTCCCTTCTAAGGCTCCTCATGTTATCTTATCAGCTGTTATCACGTCCTGCCACCTACCAATAGTGTTCCTGCCCGACCTCCTACATCACCTATCAATTTGAGCGCTCCACTGCTGTTGAAGTAAGTTATGAATTTCCGGTCAACACACATACAGACCAGACTAAAACAACACACACGCGGCACACCACACCAACCGACAAACTTAGCGGATTATAGGTAGTAGGATTATCTTCATGAGGTAGTAAAATTTCTCATGTTCTGAGGACCCCTCTTCAAAATAGGTAATCGTTTTTTTCGTATTTTTACGAATAATCGAGAGGTAATTGCATATCGATATGCTGCGATAAAACGGGCAGCCCACCAGTGGCGCTTTCTACCATTAGCTGCTTCTTCTGAATCGTACACAACAAGATCACACAGTGGTCAAAAAGAAGGGTGGTCGCATTACACTCGCCCCTAAATACTGGCCGACCACTGAATGACTGCGTGAACGAAAATCAGAAAGTGAACTAACGGCTTCGGAAGTTCTAGACTATCTTCCCAGCTGACTCCAGAATATCCTCAGATGAAACGTAAGAAAAAGCTGAAATATTGGGTTGGCACATAAGTAATGGCGTTTTTTTTCAAATGAAAATTTTGTTCCAAAAGTGAAATGTTTTGCAAGCAAGCTTGATATCATCTGATAGGAAACTTCACGTAGTTTTAGAATATCAAAGCGGCTTTGATTGAGGGAATAATTTTTGTGGATTTTTTAGTCGTTGAAGTTGAAAACGAAAACGGCGAAAATTAGCACCTTCGACAACTGCCTCTATTTACGTATAGTCGAAGTGCTAAAATCGCTTAAGCTGCTCCATACATTTGGAAAAGGTCGAGCTAGAAGTTCCAGCAAGGGAATCTCACTAGGACGCTTTGGAACGAATTTCAAGAATTTTGAAGTTACCAACCTTCACCTCGCCGATATTGGGCAGCTCACGTCTGTTCCACCTGAAATTTTATGCTAATATTTGAATGTTTCGCTGATATGTTTTGCATGTTCTGATAGCAAATTTCGTGCTCTATAACACTGCTATAGAAATCTGTTCTCCAGAGGTGTTTGCTTTCTGTTAAGTTCAGGTTATCATTACGGAACGCGAAGTCGTTGAGAACTAGCGTTCCCGTTCTCCACGAATTTTGCTATACATTGAGTATTATTCGCTAATGTGTTCTATATTTTCTATACAATTTCCGTCTATATACTGCGTTGCAGTTATTTTGAAAATCCGTTTGATGAACCTTGTTTTTTCAGGTGGATAATATGGAATGTCAGGTCGATAAGCATCAGCACTTCAGACATCTCCTCCTTTTCGCATTCAACAGAGGTATCAGAGCTGCTGATGCTGCTCGGGAAATTCGCTAAGAGCTGTCCTAACACTAATCTGTTACTCTGAGCCTTACTCAAACCATGGCGATTTCATTGAGCTGCTCTAGGAGCTTTGAAGCTTCAGTGGACAGCGGTTGAGAGAGGAAGTCGGGAACTCTAATTCTCATCGACCTCACGTTCCGTAAAGATAACCTGAACTTAACAGAAAGTAAACAGCTCCGGAGAACTGATTTTTATGTTATGTTATAGAGCACGAAATTGGCTATCAGAACATATAGAACACATTAGCGAAACATTCAAATGTTAGCATAAAATTCGTGGAGAACGGGAACGCTAGTTCTCAACGACTTCGCGTTCCGTAATGATAACCTGAACTTAACAGAAAGCAAACACCTCTGGAGAACAGATTTCTATAGCAGTGTTATAGAGCACGAAATTTGCTATCAGAACATGCAAAACATATCAGCGAAACATTCAAATATTAGCATAAAATTTTAGGTGGAACAGACGTGAGCTGCCCAATATCGGCGAGGTGAAGGTTGGTAACTTCAAAATTCTTGAAATTCGTTCCAAAGCGTCCTAGTGAGATTCCCTTGCTGGAACTTCTAGCTCGACCTTTTCCAAATGTATGGAGCAGCTTAAGCGATTTTAGCACTTCGACTATACGTAAATAGAGGCAGTTGTCGAAGGTGCTAATTTTCGCCGTTTTCGTTTTCAACTTCAACGACTAAAAAATCCACAAAAATTATTCCCTCAATCAAAGCCGCTTTGATATTCTAAAACTACGTGAAGTTTCCTATCAGATGATATCAGGCTTGCTTGCAAAACATTTCACTTTTGGAACAAAATTTTCATTTGAAAAAAACTCCATACTTATGGCCAACAATTTTCACAACCATTATTGTAAACCAGTCGGATCGCCCGGCTGTCGCCGGGCGCTCCTCCTTCTGTGACATGGCCCGGCTTCGCCGGGCCATGCGGATTTGCCGCGTGCTAAGTTAAGGATCGTTGACCAACCACACTGTTCAAAGGAATCTTCTGCATCAGCCAAGAACTGAAAAGCAGCGCTTGTTCCGTCAAGGCGCAGAAGCAGCAGCAGCCCCCCCCCCCGCATCACAGAAGGAGGAAAGCCGGCCTTAGCCAGCGATCCGACTGGTACGTTCATAACCTACACGGAAATAGTGCAGCCTGTTTGGACAGCCACTGAAGCAGCCTATAATTTATGCAATCTGTCTTCCTAAATGCGTCTTGGCTTTGGAATCTGCTCTACGCGCATGTCAGAAGTTAAAATGGCCCTCACTGTTGCTGATGGAAGATAATTGTGGTAAGAGTGATAAAGTCAGTTGCTGCTGTTCATAACATCTCTGTAAACAAACCACATGCATTTGGAATAGAGCTGGCTTAGCGGTCGTACACGTCGTTACTAATAAGCAGTGAGGAATGAGTTCTGTTGGAATCACTGAGATCGTTATACTTGAGTCATATCGATCGCATTGTTGTTGTGAGCGGTGAAGCGGTATTTTTCCCCCCGGCTACCTTGTCAATTTAGCTCCTACCACTTCCGTACCCGCTAATAACACTCCCGTCCCGTATCACTATCATATCACCCTGTATCGCCTCTCGGATCAGAGGTCCCAGTGTTGCTGTAACCTGCGTTACGAATCTGATGACCCTCCCCTTCCGAGGCCGCTTACCGTATCTTATCAACTGTTATCACTTTCTGTCGCCCGCCAATAATGTTCCCGTCCCACACCCTATATCACCTCACGGATCTGAGTTCCCACTGTTGCTGTAACCTGCGCCAGAATTTGCCTCTGTCGACGGCCCGCTATATCGATCTTACAACTGTTATCAGCTGCCCCACCGTACGCAATCACTGTTGAGACCAAAGGTTCGCTGCAACTTGCGCTAGATGTTGGTCACCCCCCCCCTTCTAAGGCCCCTTATCGAATCTTATCAAGTGTTATCACCTCCTGTCACGCACCAAAAGTGTTCCCGTCCTGCCATGTATATCACTCCTTTGAAATCCCGCAGCTGCTGCAAATTGCGCTACGATTTCGGTCACCCTCCCCTTCTAAGGCCCCTTATCGAATCTTATCAAGTGTCATCACCTCCTGTCACCCATAAGTGTTCCCGTCCTGCCATGTATATCACTCCTTGAAATCACGGTCCCAGCTGCTGCAACTTCCGCTACGAATCAGTCAACCCCCCCCCCCTTCTAAGGCCCCTTATCGAATCTTATCAAGTGTCATCACCTCCTGTCACCCATCAAAAGTGTTCCCGTCCTGCCATGTATATCACTCCTTGAAATCACGGTCCCACACCTGCTGCAACTTGCGCTACGAATTCAGTCACCCTCCCCTTCTACGGCCCCTTATCGTATGTACAATGTTAATCACCATCTGACGCCACCAAAAGTGTTCCCGTCCTGCCATGTATATCACTTCTTGAAATCACGGTCCTGCAGCTGCTGCAAATTGCGCTACGATTTCGGTCACCCTCCCCTTCTAAGGCCCCTTATCGAAAAATCCCCCCTTCTTATCAAGTGTCATCACCTCCTGTCACCCATCAAAAGTGTTCCCGTCCTGCCATGTATATCACTCCTTGAAATCACGGTCCCACACCTGCTGCAACTTGCGCTACGAATTCAGTCACCCTCCCCTTCTACGGCCCCTTATCGTATCTTATCAAGTGTTATCACCTCCTGTCACCCATCAAAGTGTTCCCGTCCTGCCATGTATATCACTCCTTGAAATCACGGTCCCACACCTGCTGCAACTTGCGCTACGAATTCAGTCACCCTCCCCTTCTACGGCCCCTTATCGTATCTTATCAAGTGTTATCACCTCCTGACACCCACCAAAAGTGTCCCGTCCTGCCATGTATATCACTTCTTGGAACTGTCATCCTATCTTTTCTGCGACGCTCGCTATGAATTTCGTGACACACACACACACACACACACACACAGCAACATCGAGACACAGCATAGCGGATTATATAAGTAGGATTCTTGATATTA